ACTGGCTAGGGAGGGCTTAGCTGGCCTCTGGAAGGTGACTGTGAGTCATAGGAGTCAGGGACCTTTGAAACAAACCATGTCATGGCCAGGCTCGAATGGGGAAAGGGACATTATGGCAGCCATGTTGGGAGAGGACTAGAAGGTTGAGGATCTGGGCAAGAATGGATGGGAACTTGACCCAGGATGATAGCACAGGCAGGGACTAGAGGTGCTTAAGATCAGTCTCTACTGTGCCATAGGGTTTGCTGAAGGACTGGACAGAAAGGGGGGAGGGGAGGAGAGAGGAAAGAGGAGAAGAAAGCAGGAAGTTGTTGGGGAAGTCCTGTGTATATGTTAATAAATTACTGCTGGCCAATAGGAATCTAGATAGGTGGGGCTAGGAGTCCAGGAGGATTCTGGGAGGAGAAACACAAGAGAGTCAACATGTGACGCCATGGGAGTAGGACACCGGGAACTATTCTCCGGTAAGAAACATACTTAGATTAACAATTATGGGGTAATTACTTAAGGCAGAGCTAGCCAGTAAGAGACGAACAAGGCCAACAGCTTCATAATTAATATAGCCTCCTGTGTGTTTATTTGGGACTCATGCGGATCTAGAACCAGGCTGGCGCGGCAGAGCCCAGGTGACTGGCGGGGGATAAACCAAAGCGGCTAGCAAAGGAAAAAGCTTCTCTTAACATAATGGTGTCAGAAGTGGGATTGTAAATTTCCACGCAGAATGACAAAAGCTTTAAAGGAATTTTAGAAACAGAAGAATGGAGAGAAGCACAGATTTTTGGTAGCAGCATTTTTCTCAGGTGTGCTCTGTTTTGCTAGCTACAAGCCGAGATTCACGCGGCTCGCTTACTGGAGTCTTCCTGACTCGGCATAAAAAGAAAAAGAAAAAGAAAAAAAAAAACCAACAAGGTTGTTTTAAGAGACTCTGCTAACGATTGAAAGGTGTGTACATACAGCTGGAAGTGGCAGCTTTTGCTGGATGTCAGCATGGACTGAGGCGGCAAGCTGGAGTCACGCTTACGCCTGCCATCTTGACGGAAAAACCGGCAGTTTAAAACAGCCGCGGTTTTACAGATAAGACACGTGGCCAGAAAAACATAAAGATTTACAGTAAAGTCAGACTTGGATGAACAAAACCTCTAAAGGTTTACAGTGTGTTTAAAAATATACGTGAGACTGAGAGAGAAAATGAAACGGCAAAGTGGTAAATAAATGCAAAAGCCGGCTGTGGTGGCGCATGCTGGTAGGAATTGCCCCAGAGGCAGAGGCAGGCAGGATTCCGAAGAGAAACCCTGTCTCAGAGAACAATAAACAAAAGTGAAAGAAATAGAGTAATAATAATAATAGATAAATAAATAAGCCACACAAAGATGGAAAATACACAGAGAGTCTGGATACTGTACACTATTGTGTTTTTCAGTTTTATAATTGCTCAGGAAGGAACAGCTGCTAAAGTACACTTGATTATAAATGCTGCTAAATTAATTCAACTTATATCTTTTGAAAATGCCTTGACTTCAAAATTTAAGTATAAGGATATGTTACTCAGAAAAGGAGATTTTATTTATGTTTCTACAGAAAATGAAAAGCTGAGAATTCCTTCCAGGCTTCTGTGGTTTCACGAACCAAGACCCCCGGAAGCAGTGGACCAGGTGTTTCAACGACTGAGACAGCTAAGATGATACAGCTCTACAGACCATAAAAATAAGGACTTATACAGGTTTCTGGGTTTTGTCATGATCCCCATGGTATGAACAGCGCCCCCTTCCAGCAGGAAGCAGTTTGGAATGAGCGACTTCCCAATTCCCATCTTGTTTATAAATCTTTGTTTTCATTTAAATGGGATTGTTTATAATTGGCTAGTGATCACAGCCAATCTTTTTTAATGGTAAAAAAGGGGAATTATGGTATGGGTATTGTTTTTCATTTATTGATACAAATTCAAGGTCAATTTTGTGATGTTTATATTTCTCCTCTTGATTAAGTATTGTGCTTATACTGATCTTTTAAAACGTAATGCATAATTGAATACAGACTATAGATAGTTACTTATAATAGAATTTATAGTTAGGTAAGTTAGGTTTTCTAGATATACAGAAATATATTTGAGATAGATAAACAGTCTTCAAACCTCTCAAAGACCTTCAGAAAATGGCATTTAATATGGTTTAGGGTTTTTCTTGACAATGAGAAATGTCTGCTCCTGGCAGCACCAATTACATCTGAGAGGAAGATGGGCATCGAAGAAACTTGTTATGGAGTTTGCTTTCAACATGGCAAGATTAGGCATTTGGGCAAGAAACTGCTCTTGCCTAGACTGTTTGACTGTTGCTGTATAAACTGGACAGGCAGGACCCACAGGAAAGTGACTACTGAACTCAGTCTTACAGGGTTCCTGCTTCATGAAAGAGTCTACGAGACTTTCTACAGGACAAAGAAAAGTGAATAACAGACTGCCAATGCAGATGGACAGTTTGAAATTTCCTGCTTTGCTGAGAAGTGTTCCAGACACATTGTGGCCTATGGGCTGAGATGGATGCCCAGAGGAACTTCGGGTGACTGTCCAGATAGCAAGATGTCTTGTCAATCCTAGTGTTTATATATTATCCTTCTGTGGTCTTTGATGGAGTTGAAGACAGATAGTTATAATTATAGTTTTCCTTAGTTATGATAAGAGATAAGCTACATATAGAACTTTAGACTCACAAGGATGGGATGGATGATATTTTCTTTAGATCTTGCTAAATGTTAATAGACAAAATGTTGTAACTGTGTTCTTACTTGATAACTGTTCTGTCATATACAATTTGACTATGTTAAAGTTAAGACCTTTCTTTTTGTTTAAACAGAAAAGAGGAGATGTTGGGGAAGTCCTGTGTATATGTTAATAAATTACTGCTGGCCAATAGGAATCTAGATAGGTGGGGCTAGGAGTCCAGGAGGATTCTGGGAGGAGAAACACAAGAGAGTCAACATGTGACGCCATGGGAGTAGGACACCGGGAACTATTCTCCGGTAAGAAACATACTTAGATTAACAATTATGGGGTAATTACTTAAGGCAGAGCTAGCCAGTAAGAGACGAACAAGGCCAACAGCTTCATAATTAATATAGCCTCCTGTGTGTTTATTTGGGACTCATGCAGATCTAGAACCAGGCTGGCGCGGCAGAGCCCAGGTGACTGGCGGGGGATAAACCAAAGCGGCTAGCAAAGGAAAAAGCTTCTCTTAACAGGAAGTAAAGAAAGATAACACTCAAGGCTGTTGACTTAGCTACCCTAGTACCTTGTGGGATCTTGGTATCTGCAAGCGTCACCCTGGGGGAATGGTGTCCTACTGTGGTCATAGTGTTCAGTGTCGGTCTCTGCTACTAGCAGATCTGGAGCTCAGCAACAGCTGCAGCCACACCAGTCTTAATGAGTGGAAGTCCATGTTGTTGTTCCCACATGAACTCCATCCCTGCCACCATGGTCACTTTGTTCATGGCCTATTGGCCAATGACAGGCATTGCAGGGGAAAGAGGTTCACTGTCCACAGAATGGGTCATCCAATCCGCTTGATTACTGAACTCCTCAGCTGAAGTCACCTTTTAGTGAGCATTTACATGAATGCAAGTATCCTCACATCCTTTGCCCATTTGGAGAGATCTAGCCACATACTTCTTCCCCAGATGTCTTTCTCACCAATTTCCATCACGTTCTTTCCAAGTGCCTGGCCATCCAGCCAGTCTATTAGCTTCAGCCCATGAGTCAGTGAGCAATTGCACATCTGGTCATTTGTTTCCTTCCAAACAATTTGTACGACCATGTATTCTGTCTGAAGTTTGGCCACCGTGAAGATGTCCCTTCTCCAGTATCTGTCAAGGTTGTTCCAGAAAAGGGTTCTAAAAGGGTTCCCCGGCAGTTGTCCACTTCTGGGTGGTGCCTGCACATCTCACAGAACCATCAGAAAGCCAGGCTCTCATTGTTTCTTCCTCAGTCAACCAATCATAAGGTCCATGCTTGGGAGCAGTAGGCATTGTAACAGGAGTAGAAAACAGACATTTGCACCAATTCAGGGTTGCTATTGCCGTGACAAAACCAGGACCAAACGTAACTTGGGGGGAGAAAAGGGTTTATTTGGCTCCTGGGTCACAGTATATTGAGAAAAGCCAAGGCCAGTGGCGGGAGGCGGGAGCCGAAGCAGACGCTAAGGGAGCAGTGCTTCTCACTGGCTTGCTGGCCACGGCTTTTCCCGCCTTCTTTCTTATAGCACTCAGGAGCACCTCCCACTCACACAGGCATAGACCCTTCCACGGCAACCGTTAATCAAGAAAACAGTCCACAGCCCTACCTGCAAGCCAATAGGCTGGGAGCATTTCCACAGCTGAGGTCCCATCTTCTCAGGTGATGCTAACCTTTGTTAACACAAAACTGACCAGCGTAGTTGGTCAAGGATGGAAGAGGGGGTGGGGGGGTGGGGCAGGAGGATCAGGAGTCTGATTTTGCTGCACTAGATGTGACACTCCCTTAGACACCCACATGGTGTCTACAGATCTCAGTGTGGATGGGAGATTGTGAGCCCTGCTTCAAAGGCTCCTGAAGTCTTGCTTGGCTCAAGGACGGGTGTGATCTTTTTCTTGCACAAGCTCTTCCATCCCCACTGTCATTCCAGATGTTCACATTGGGATACCCGAAGCCTTTCCAGTAGCTTCTATGCCCATCTGGTTTACTTTCTTCACCAGTGTACTCCACCCCACACCCGCACCCCTGGCCACTGTCCTAAAGGTCTCTCTGACACAGGGGTCTAGGACTGCTTAGCCTATGTGAGCTGCTCAGGTGGGATCTAACCTTTAGATTCAAACTCAGAGGCAGACCCTCCTACCTGTTCACCCCTCCCTGCCAGCCACACACTCCTGTTGGGGAAGTCCTATGTATATGTCAATAAAGCACTGTTGGCCAATAGGGAAGCAAGCTAGGTGGGACTAGGAATCCAGGAGGACTCTGGGTAGGAGAAACACAGGGAGTCAAGATGTAACCGCCATAGGGATAAGAAGCCCGGAAACTTCTCCGGTAAGAGAAATACTCAGATTAGCTATTATGTGATAAATACTTAAGTCAGATCTATCCAGCAAGAAATAAGCAAGGCCAATAGCTTCATAATTAATACAGCGTCTTGTGTGCTATTTGGGAACTACAACGCGGCAGAGCCCAGGCGACTGGTGGTGAAAAACCAAAGCGGCTAGCAAGGAAAAGTCTTCTCTTTACACACTCCAGTAGCCTGGGAATGTACAGAGTAACAATGAGGATGGGATTCCTCGGCTAAGGGAGTCCTGTGTGTTTTCTCATTTAACACTCCCACCTGTCTGGGAAGGGATTCAGATTTGTCTCATACATTACAGGTCCCGAAATCGACACTTTGGAAATTAAGTATTAGGTGAGGAGGGTATAGTCTCAAGGTCAAGAGGTCAAAGACTCTCGGGCTTCATCTTTTAGCACCTTCAGTAAAGTCCAGACCTACCTCCTAGCCACTGTACCTGTGGTTCTTAGAAAATGATAACTGAAGGCAGGGGTTTAAATGAGACCCAATAGAAATGATAAATAGATATTTATTAGAAGGACTTACACAGATCAGAGAAAATAACCACCTTGGTCTTCCTGCTTTAAAAGATGTAGTCTCTGATTTTCCTATGCTCTCTGCAACCCAAGAGAGCTCGAGCCTGCTTCCCTCTACCTTAATCGGGTCATGTCTGCACCTGACAGCATGCCCAAAGGATGTGGCCACTTCTACAAGTTCACTGGCAAGGCAAGATGCCACTATGGATAGCAGCTCCGTCTGGATACTCAGCAGTAAAGATTCTTAGAGCCCACATGAATGCTCCTCATGGAAAGCCAGGGCCCGGAACCATCATGTAAGTATCCTCAGTTTCCACTGAGGTCTCAGTTGTAGATGGACCACTAGGTTGCATAGTCCTACACTCTTTACCACACTACTTGGCCTCTGCCATGGCTGCTTCAGTCTATGGAGAGGCCAGTCCCTTGACAATAATGCCTATTATCCTTGGGCCAACCTAGTGGACACTCTGCCACACTGCACGTTTATCTCCCGGGCCTTGGGAAGCCTCTTCTGCCTCTAAGCTGGGAAGGTGTCCCTTCTTGTCACTTCCCAAGGATGTTATGTGCAGTTTTCTCAAGGACACAGTTCCCATGTCCTATCCACTGCTTTGAATGCCTGTGACCCTGCTAGGCTGACAGCGTGGGTGTAGGGGATGGCCCTATGAGTTCACCTCTTGAATGTTCAGCGTTGATATAAATCTCTTAACCATCGATATCACTTATCTGGGTAAGCAACTTTAAACCTTTAAGGCTTTAATTTTTGAGATGGTGCCTTATTCTATAGACTAGTGTCAAATGCACTAGGTAGCCCAGGCTGGTGTAGAGACTGCTGCCAGTCCTCCTGTTTTAGCCTCTGAGTGCTGGGATAACAGGCATAAGTCACCAGTTCAAGACTGAAGACTGATTGGAAGTTCTTCGATTTGAGCTGGGTTTTCCCTGGTGGCTCCACAGAGTTTGGCTGAGTTTTCAGTTAGCTAGCCTTCCAGTAGAGATAAAAATTTATAAATGCATTTTGACTCCATTTTAGAGATTTCAGTTAACCATTGGTTGGCCTCCATACTATGGACCCATGATAGCATACTGTCCTCATGTTGACTTCCTTTGCTGGGATAAAATCTCCGACAAAAAAACAACAAACAATTTAAAGGATAAAGGGTCTCTTTGGCTTGTAATCCCTGGTTATGGTCCATCACTGTGGGGATGGCAAGTCAAGAACAGAGAGAAGGGGCATGCATGCTTGAATGTACCTTTCTCTGCTCTTACACAGCCCACGACCCAACACCTCGGGTGCTGCCCTCTTTTAGACCTTGTCTTATTTGTCACACAAAGACAACCCCACAGAGACATGCTCACAGGCCAATATGATCTAGACAATGCCTCACTGAGACTCTCTCCCCAGGTGATCATAGCACAGTTTGTTAACATGTAGTGTTTGCTTCAAGAACAATAATTCATGTTCTCCCACAAAAGATTAATTTAACTAATTCCTTCCCCAGAAAATCAAACAGAGCACTTCACAGTTGAAAGAAACAGAACAAAATTTGATTAGAACACTGAGTTAAGAGCAATCCATAGCCCAATGCTGTGGTTAAAATTATTCATGCATCATTACCAGCAATTAAAAAAACAAATCAAAATAAAACAATGATAAGATAACAATCTGTGAATGGTACAAGATGCTAAAAATTTGCAAGATGGATAAACATGGAAGAAAAATATTTGGAATTCATCTGACAAGCAAACAAAGTGAGCAGTTAAAAACTGGTAAGGACCACAAAGAGAAATTCCACAAAGAACTATGAATTGACAACGTATGAAAAGATGTCAAGTTTGGGAATGTTAGGTCACAGGGAGTATGTCCTGGACAGGATTGGGGGAGGGACTCCCTTCCTCTCTCTCTTGGCTTCTGGCGTGTTGTCAGGATAGTTTTATCCCCCCTTCCCTTCCAGGTGACATGGTGCCTTGACCCTGGGACAGGGCCAACTGACCAAGGACAAGAATATCCAAAGCTATGAGCCAAAACCTTTTCACTTTATCATTGGATCATCCAGAGTATTTTGTTATGGAGATGGAAAGCCATCAGTAAGGACTTGGGTGACTTGGCCTCAGGAGAGAGGGTGCCACTGTGGCAACAGGGAACGTCAGCCTGTGGCCGTTCAGAGGATGGGAGTGAAGAGACTACTGACCACACTGACAAGGCATGGAGGCTTCCCAGCAGAGAAAGCTTCCTTTACTACTTGTGTTAAAGTTAGCACAGCTCAGGCCCCTGAAGGAAGTAGGGGGGTATAGTTGTAAAATTCCCAAGTTCTCACTTGCCAGCTCTAGGTGAGGGGTCTTGCCTGGCTCAGCTGGCAGGCAAATATGCAATGGGTGGGATGAACCTGTGCAAACACTGGAGCAGATGCTGTCTGCAGCCTCCCTGTTGTCCCCTCTTGGACCCTCCATTCTCATGTCACCTGCAGACTTCAAACTGTCACCATCTGCGCCCCTGCCCGTTTGCTAGATAGCTGCAGATGTCATGAAAGCCTCCGCCACACCCCAGCCCTGACTGTGGAGCTGTCAGGAAAATGCCTGGCACTCTCCACCCCTTTGTGGACTGCTTGGCGTGACCCCAGTGGGCTCTGAGTTTCCCAGAGCCCTAGGCTGCAATCGCCATGGTGGGGAGTTACTTGATAACACACCAGCCTCCTGCCCGCCCGTGTCTCACATCTGCCTCACATACCGGTGCTTCCTCCTAATGCAGGCGCTACATCTGAACTCTTATCTCTGCTTCTCCTTCTTGGGGCCATCTGAGAAGTGTGGCCAGGCCAGAAGCTGAAGCATGCCCTTCACAACAGCGGCACATCTGGGTGATGAGTGGAGTGTGTGAGCTGGGACACAGGCCTGGAGTCACAGGTGGATGCTGGCTATCCGTCCTGACTGGGAGTCTCCTGGGGCCATCCTGGCTGACTGGTATTGGAGATGTACCTGCCATTCTGCATAGTGACCGCATGTGGAAAGGGCTTTGTGACTAGCATAGCTCTTCTCAGGGTTACCTTAGAGTGATTTGGGATGAGCAAGGAATGCCATCCCCAGGGACAAGAGGGTAGGGAAACTGCCTGTTGTTTTGTTTGTTGCATTTCTACCACCTGGAGCCGTCCTAGAGGCAAGCCAGATACGATGCAGTTGAATGAATGAGATGAGTCCTCCACCTGTTTTGTGTCCTGTGCCCCAAGCAGTGGAAAGTCCTGTGATACCAAGATTCCTCACTGTATTAGTCAGGGTTCTCTGAGAAACAGAACTTACAAAATGAATCTATCTATCTATCTATCTATCTATCTATCTATCTATCTTTCTTTCTTTCTTTCTTTCTCTGCCTCATGACTGTGGCTACTGCAGTGTGACCGCTGACTCCCATCTTCTGCCACCATGCCTTCCCTGCCATAATAGGCCGTCCCTTCAAACTGTAGCAAAATACACCTGTTTTCCCTCAGGTTGCTGTTGTCCAAGCAACAGGAAGAGTAATTAATAAACCAAGGAGCCAAGTATGTAAATATGCGTTAGGTTTTCTTAATTGAAGTTGTGTTGTTGACAGCATCCCATGCCCCATTAAAGCTCATACTCTGGTCACACCGTCATGTATAACAACCCAGAAATGCCAATCAGTCAGCTTGAAATGGTGGTTAACTCCTGCCCTGGGAGCTGAGGAGCTATTTAAAGGTGGAGACAGCTGGTCTTCCTGTGTTACAGTTTCTATTGATTCTTCTCCCAGAGCTTTCCATTTCATTGTACTTATCTCAGAGAGATTGTGTTAAAAATGAAGCACTTTTAAAGTTCCTTATAGCTACTTGGGGAATAGTCCTTAGCCACTATTAATGCAGTGGCTTAAAGTCCATGTTGGGGTGGCTTCAGAGACCTTGCCAGACCCTGTAAAATGGAGAAGGCAGGCCGAGTGTGACATCCATTGCATCCCTCTCCTCTTGACTGTGAGCACAGTGGGACCAACTGTCTCAAGCTCCCCTTGCTTTCAGCAACAGGAAAATAAACTAAGGCAATTAGTACCAGGAGTGGGGCTTCAGCTGTGATAACCCTAACAATGTGGTCCCTAGGCCCTTGCAACTGCTGGAATCAGTGCTGAGATTCATGGATCATTCTTGTGGAAACTTGGAAGACAATAATGCTGGGAGAAATATACACAGAGGAGACCAGGCTCCCAAGGTTTCAGATAGGACCAAGGACTGGTTTTAGAGCCATTTATATAATATATTTGCTAGGAATCTGGTTTCATTCTGCTCATGTCCTGAGAACTTGAGTCAAGTTGAATTTAAAGATAATAGACTAATTTATTTGGTGTAGGGAACTTCAAAACTGCAGGTCACTAAGGAAACAGCTGTCATTGTTAAAGAGATCAGCAACACTGAAGAGAAACACTGCTGCACTGTGTGGGAAACCTGTGCTGCATAACATGGTGAAAGCATGGGCATATAATGTTCTCTTCTTCCTGACTGTGGGCATAATGTGATCAGCTACCATAAACCCCTGCTGCCTTGAGTGCTCCACTATAATGGGCTATCCCTTGAACTCCACGCCTACACAAACCCTTTCTCCCTTAAGCTGATTTCATGGAGAATTTTTACTGCAGCAACAGGAGAAGGAATTAAGACCCCTCTTGGTCCCAGATGAGTTTGAGTGAGGGCTTATTCTTATGAAGGGAAGCAGCAGACTAACAGACTGCATCTGCTAACCACAGAAGATATCGTGTGAGTCCTGGGAGAACCTAGTACAGGTTTGCAGTACTGGCTGCCTAATCTGCATGCTGCCACACAGAAGGCAGCCACCGGGTCCCTTTCAAAGACTGGAAGTTCAAAACTGGCAACAGTAAAACAGTCAACCACACCCAGAGTCTTGAGAGCATGGGCTCTATAGCCTGAATAACTGTGTGTCCTTGAAACCAGACTTGATACTAACAGCTTTCCCATCTAGGCATAAGCAATGAAATCAATGGCTGGCTGTCCTGGCTTGACTCAGAGCACGGCCGATCTCAGATCACCAGGATCTGACAATGACACTGGCCTTGAGTGCTGGGCCTTAGATGTTGAGAAGCTAGATCAGAGTTATGACTCTGCCCTAGGCTGGCAACTGCACTGTGATCCAGTCAGGATCCTACAAAGGAGCTGGGTAACTGCACTGTGACCAGCAAGATACCTGGCTGGGCTGGTGAACCCATTTAATAAACAGCTGGAGGGCAAAGCGTACAAGTCACACCTGCTTTGTCTATGGTCCTTTTACTTCCACTCGGTGGTCCTCTGCCTTGACATTATCCCCAGAGGCTACCCGCCTGGCAGCTTATTCCCCAGGGTTCTCTGTTTCCAGGAGCCCTGAGTCCAGTGCTCTACAGGAACACTAAGAACTGTGTGTGTCTTTTCGTAAGGAGAGCTATGAAAGCTGCTCCTCTCCTTCCCAACATTGCATTAGTCCTCAGCTTGGTCTAGTGAGGCAAGAGACATCCAGTTCCTACCTGCAAGTCTGGGTAGCATTCCCTCCCAGAGCATCCAGTCACTTTGCTGTCTGGACCAGGCCCAGTGAGTGCATTTCCTGTCAGCAAGTCTAAGACGCTCATTCATTCCTTTCACAAATATTTATCAGGCAGCTACCAAATGTCAGACACTCTTCTAAGCCTTGCGGAGATAGAAAAGAATGGGCGAGACAAAAATACTCGTTCTGACAGAGTATGATGGGAAGATACGCAATAAATAAAGCAGTAAGTGCGTGGCAAAGGTTCTGCCAGCTCCTAAAGACCTGGGCCAATAGCCAACGTAGTCAACATAGAGTATGGGACGGAAGCGAGGGAGGAAATAGAAAGTAAAGCAAGGAGGCATGAGAGATGTTGGTAGAAGAGCTAGAATTTTACAGTGAGGAGGAAGGGAGAACAGATGTGGGAAGAGGTGGTCAGCATTCTCACCTCTACTCTCAAAAATTTTGGTATCCATAATTTTGGTATCTTTACTGTGTGTCTCAACTCAGTGCTCATGGCGGCCCCTGAGTAAAGCTGGGGAAGCCATGATTTCTCCAAGGACCTAGGAATTGGATTCAGACTTGCACCAATCTCCTGCTGAAGCTGCAGCTGTGGGCAGTAAGGATGAGAGCAGGTGCTGGCTGTTTTGTCAGGGAGAGGGAGCGTAGGATGAAGGTTTTCTAGAGGAAACGAACCCTCAGAACAGTGTGTGTGTGTGTGTGTGTGTGTGTGTGTGTGTGTGTGTGTGTGTGTGTGTGTGTGTGTGTGTGTGTGTGTTGTAAGAGGGGATTCACTAGATCAGCTTACACACTAAGGGCTAGGTAACCCAACAGTGGCTGTCTGCACCCCAGAGAGTCTGAGAACGCAAAAGCTACTCATTCTGCAAAGCCAGGCGCCTCATCAGCCCCACTCTGATTCAGAAAACAGGAAGCATCTCTTTCCAGAGAGCAGCTGGTCTTCGGTTCTTGCCCGCAGGCATCAGTGGAAGGTGGAGAGGGCAACAATAGACACTGATGCACTTCCCTGGATGAAGTGAAGTGGGGAAGGCCACATTGCTTTTCCCTCAGCCCCTTTTACGTCTGGGACATCCATGGAAGGTTCTCCAGCTCCAAGAGAGGGTCTCTTCTCCTCAGTTCATCCTTCTCGGAGATCCTCACACAGCCTGCCCAGAGTTATTTCTCTTACTTGCTTCCAGATCTCCTCAGTCGGTGTTCAAGGTTGAGCAAGAACAGCGCAAAGCTGAGCTGTGGTAAATGAGTGTGGTGGTGAGGGGAGGTTCCTGTATTCAGCAGCGTTTTGCTGTTTTCCTTTTAATTTTACATTTTAAAAAATTTTCTGTTTTTATTTTAAAATAACATTTATCCACTGGTGTGCATGGGTTGGGGGGCATTGTGGAGATCAGAGGACAACTTAAGATGTTGCTCAGTAGGTTATATCATATAATCTCTTCAAAGAAACCATTTGTGGTCAAAGAGATGTGGGAAATACTGAACATTCTAGGTTCCTCTTAAAGACAGACATCTCAATTCATACATATTAGTATCAGAGAACTTTCAAGCTATCGCTTTCTTCAGCTTTATTCATAGACATCTCTCTCTTTTTATTAAGAGGACTAACAAATGTTTAAAAAAGACTATACTATTTTTAGTTAAATTCTAACTCAACCTTTAAAAGTGAAAGTGTCTAAAGGCTGATTAGCAAATTTTTTGCAGGAATGACTTTTTTGGTATCTTCTTTACAGATAGAGTGAGTTAAGGGAAAATGAGGTCCTAGTTATCATAGTAGGAGTGGAGGGACATTTGGACACAGGAAGAGAGACAGTTGAGATTATGCGGTCCTATCTACCATCTTTTGTTTTGTTTTGTTTTGGCTTTTTGCTTTTCGAGACAGGGTTTCTCTGTATCACTTTGGGGGCTGTCCTGGAACTTGCTCTGTAGACCAGGCTGGCCTCCAACTCACAGAGATCCGCCTGCCTCTGCCTCCTGAGTGCTGGGATTAAAGCATGCACCACCAATGCCCCGCTTCTATTTACCATCTTCTCTCCTGTATTTACTCAGTGTTTACGAGAAGCCAGCCATACCAACACTTGTATAATGTGGTAAGTTGCAGAGAGACTTCTCTGAGCCTGAGTTCAGTGACAGAATTTGCAGCAGAGCTGGCAAAAGCAGCCTACAAAATGGTACAATAAATTACCACAGCTGTGTTAATAAGGAGGAAGACTGTGACTTCCTCTGGGATCACCTTGGAGAGTAATAGCAACTGTAGCCTGGTGATAACACTCTAGGTGGGCGAGCTGGGGATTGTGGGAGCAGTGCTTCGTGGTCAAGTGAAGAGGCTGCCACGGATTCAGTGTGGCAGTGTTCAGTTTCCTGGGCTCTTCAGAATTGCAGACTTCTGCACTCTTCACTAATATTGCTGATGATAAACACAAGCTTTTCACCTCAATTATTATGATCCTGTCACCCGAGGGGAGACTATGCAAAATCTGAGTTTTATAGTGCACATAGTTCATTAACATGAGTAATAGGAAAAGAAATCTGCTTTCAGTAGATTTCAGTAACTGTGGTAGTTTGAAAGAAAATGTACCCCCCAAAGGTGGTGGCACTATTAGGAGTGTGGCCTGGTTGAATTAGGTGTGGTCTTGTTGGAGGAAGTGTGTCACTGTGGGGATGGGCTTTGAGGTCTCTTTTGCTCAAGCTTCAATCAGTATGGCACTCAGTCTACTTCCTGTTGCCTGCATATCAATATGTAGCAACTCCTTTTCCAGCACCATGTCTGCCAGCACGCCAGCATGCTGTCCACCATAATAATAGATTAAACCCCTGAAACTGTAAGCCACCACCTCAGTTAAATGTCTTCCTTTATAAGAGTTGCCATGGTCGTGGTGTCTCTTCACAGCAATAGAAACCCTAAGACAGTAACCTTCCCAAATGGTGGCTAAGTACAGATGTCCATCATTTATTGAATAAGAAAAGGTTTCTCTGTCATAAAGGGTCAGAATCCTCTGTGTTAGAATGTGTCCTTTAAGGAATGGATGGAAAGTACCAGGGGATAGGTACCATGGGCAGATTCTGAGATTCTCTCTCTCTCTCTCTCTCTCTCTCTCTCTCTCTCTCTCTCTCTCTCTCTCTCTCTCTCCTTGTCTCTTTGTTCTCTGCTTAGTGGATTATCATTTATCTATAATCTATGTATCATGTATCTCTTCCATCATATCTGGAATCATCTCTCATCTATCAATTATCTATCTATCTATCTATCTATCCATCTATCTATATTTCTTAAGAATTTTTAAGTAAGCATTAATCTTAGCTTAATGACACAGGGAAGGAGTCTTTGATAAAGAGGGGTGCAGGAGGTTTAAGTGGGAGCTCTATGCATCAATGACCTCAGTTCCTGATTGGGAAATTCTCTTATTTTATTAACACATTCACACTGAGGGGATGAAGTGGAGTTAAACGGTAAAGCTCATGTATGTGAAAAGTTCTGAGTTTTCTTCCCAGAAACACACACACACACCACACACACACACTCACACACACACCACACACACACACACTCACACACCACACACACACACACACACACACACACACACACACACACACACACCTCTTCCTGTGATGGGCCTTCTGAAAATTTGTGTTTCCACCAGAGTTTGGGAAGTCAAAAGAAAGTAGAGAATCCTTCTGGGGCTCAAAGAGGTGACAACTCACCCTCTGCTATGCAACCTGTATGCTGTTGAGTTTTCTTAATTTTCCATACAGCATCTGAGGTTTCCAAAGTAGTAAGAGACAGACAGAGAGAGAGAGAGAGAGAGAGAGAGAGAGAGAGAGAGAGAGAGAGAGAGAGAGAGAGAGAGAGAGAGAGAGAGAGAGGTTTGCATCTTGGGTAGGAGATTTTCTTCAGTTAAGAATCTGTCATTTGTCACAGACAAGATCATGTGTAGGTGAGATGTTTAATACGTGCCCTCTGGTGATACCAATATTTTCCTGTGATCTTGGTAAAGTATTGTGTCTAGAGGACTCCTTCCAGGAGCATTAATCAATAATACTGTCTACTTTTTATCAAGCTATCTAGTAAAATTATCATTTTGGCTTTTGTTTCTTCTCTGAGTCATGCCTGGTACTAGGGGTCTTTGGGTCACCAACTCTTTATATTTATAGTTACATGAAGGTTAGAATATATTTTCCCATAGATGACCTTACTTGTTTTGAATGACAATTTTCTGAATAATTTTTAACAGATGTATCAAAGCCTTGCCACCTTGGCGTCATGAACAAGTTTGAAGCATTGAAGGAAGAGAAGCAAAAAGATGATGAATTCTAGTTGCGCTAGTTACTTTTTTGTTGCAGTGACAAACGCCTTTAAGAAAAACCAAGGAAGGAAAGTGTGTTTTTTATTTTGGGGCTGCAGTTTGAGGGCACAGTCTATCATGATCATGAGACACTGTCACATTGTGTCTGCAGTCAGGAAACAGAGGGAGATGAATGCTTGAATGCTGGTGTTCTTCATGCTGTCCTGTGTGTGTGTGTGTGTGTGTGTGTGTGTGTGTGTGTGTGTGTGTGTGTGTGAGTGTATGTATGCATGTGTGTGTGTGTGTGAGAGAGACAGAGACAGAGAGACAGAGAGTCAGAGAGATACGGACAGACAGACAAGCAATGTGTCAAGTGTCTTTATCTGTTACCTTTTACCTTATCTTTTGAGTGAGGCAGGGTCTCTTGCTGGACTCGGAACTCTTTGATTGGCTGTCCAGAGAGCTCTGAAGATCAGCTTGGTTCTGTTCTAGAGTTACAGATGTGTATGACCACACCCACCACACCCAGTATGTGTGCTGGGGATCTGGACTCATGTCCTCATGCCAGTACAGAAGGCTCCTTACTGTCATCTCCCCAGCCTTAGGCTTCCTTCCTTCCTTCCTTCCTTCCTTCCTTCCTTCCTTCCTTCCTTCCTCCCTCCCTCCCTCCCTCGCTCTCTCTTCCCCTCCCTCCCTTCCTTCCCCCCTTCTCTCCCTCCTCTTCTGTCTGAGTCCTCAGCTCATGAAATCATACCACCACATTATGGGTGGGCTTCCCCTCTTCAGTTCAGCCTCTCTGGAAACACCCTCACAGTTACCCCCTGAGGGTTGTCTCTTAGGTGATTCCAAATCCAGTCAAGTGGACAGTCGAGATTGACATCACAACAGCTGTGTGGTCAGTCACATCCACCTCAGAAGTTACTCCTGGTTATCATGGATCCTTTTCTGTCGTTTAACTAAATGTCACACATTGTACTCTATAAACAAGTTTAGTGTCTTCAGCCCTAGCATCTGGGAAATCCAAGATCACAGAGCCAGCATCCGGCAAGAACTTCATGACACATCAGAGGTGCCACCTGCCAGAGAGCACACACACAATCTCTCATCCTCCTTTTCTTTTCAAACCACCAGTCTGGTCATGTGAAAACCCTCCATGGTGACCTTGTCTGACCTTATTTTTCCCCAGAGGTGCACCTCCAAATGCCATCAATGTTTGAATTGCCTGAACTTGGGACCACATGGAAACCACAGCAATCCCCTTGTCCCCAAGTGTGCATGGCTGGCTTCTCCCTGAGCCTCTGAGCCTCTTTAGGAAAGAGCTGAGTCTGCAGGGGGACTGTCAGGTGGTGTGCCTTCATTAGCCTTTGCTGAGCAAAGCAATGAACCATCAAGCATTATTAAGGAAGTGAAATACGGCAGCGTGGAGCTCACCTGGTCCAGCAAAGGGTTTGGGAGAAGAGAAGGAAGAGGGGTCACACGTGAGAGTGAGGTACTGTTGGAGGAAGCCCAGGCTGACTGCATGAGACTTACCGTCTCCCCAGAGGGAGCTTATCGGGAAGATGCTGTGCTTAGCTTCACTGCAATTCTGGCCGGGGTTGCAGCATCATTAGCACAACAGAACATGAAAACATTACTTACATTATTTCTCCAGGACTGACTCCTCTCCTCTCTGTCTCTGTCTGTCTCTGTCTCTGTCCCTCTCCCTCCCTTTGTCCCTCTCTTCTGTCTCTCTCCTTCCCTCCATTCCTTTCTCTCCCTCCCTTTATTCCCTCTTTCTCTCTCTTTCTCTCCCTCCCTCCCTCTTTCCTCCTCTCCTTTTCCCCAACCCATGTGTGTTTCGTATATACTGGTGTCTGTCCAGGAGTGTGCACTTTGTGTGTGCATGCAGAGGCCAGAGGAGACTGGCAGGTGCCTTGTTCGATCACTCTTTGCTTTATTCCTTTGAGACAGGGTCT